AAAAACTACTGGGATCAAAACAAAAGGATACAGGAGCCAATTTGAAAGGGCTCCCACTGGCCAAAAGTGGAAAACTTTGTGCCTCAAAAAAAGTGAAATGTCTATACAAACTCAGAAGTTCATAAAGATAATCACAACAGCCAAAAATTCATTGGTCACTTCTGGAGTTGGCTCTGGCATCAGCGCCTTCTTATTACCTAGATACTCCCAAGGTAGGACATGTTCTCCTGTACAGAATTTCAGTTAATAAATGCAGAGGAAATGACAGAATTAGATTACTACCATTTTGCAACCTAATAAAACCGTGGACCTAGGCAAAGATGATAAATGGATGCTAAAATCGTCAGATGAAAAACTCATAGAAAAATGAAAATGGAAGAATCTGACTGAAACAGCTGAGCCCAGGGATCATTACCAACCTCACAAAAGGGAGGCAGCCAGTCCTCACGTGCTCCTGGTGTGATGCAATCACAGGGATGTGATGTTCTGCTAAAATAACTGAACTTGAGTCTAATCAAGTCTCAGGACTCAAATTCCCATTTACAGGGAACATAGGGGATCGTGTATATGTTAAAAAGATACCATGACGATGGAAACTTAATCTAGAATGTGGGAAATTCCACAGAACAAAATGATCCAGTTTTTTCAAAGGCATGAAAAAAATAGTAGTATTATAGATTTAAAGAGTCTAAGAGACCTAGGAACCAAATGTAAAGAACTGATGTTTGGTCCCTCAAACAAAGGAACTGTAGTAAGACAGTTTGGGATAACACAGGCAATCTGAACATGGAGCAGTATTAACAAATATTAAGGAATAATTATTGTTTAAGAGGAATAATGCCAGTGTGGTTATCAATGTTTATAAAAAGTTTTAAATACACTGAAGTCCCTATACGTGAAATGACAGGTTTGTAAATTTACTGTAAAACACAAGGGCAAAAACAGGGTGGGGTGGACTGATGGAACAAGACAGACAAAACGCTGGTAACTAACAAGTGAAGCTATAGGGAGGGAGGTCCATTAGATTCCCTTTCCTTTTGCGTACATTTTAAATTTGACATAATAAAAAGATTTTAAAGAACAGGTAAGTACAGGCATACTTCGTTTTACTGCACTTTGCAAATACTGTTGTTTTTTTTTTTTTTAAGATTTTATTTATTTGACAGAGAGAGACACAGCGAGAGAGGGAACACAAGCAGGGGGAGTGGGAGAGGGAGAAG